ATCGAGCCGAGAGGAGCTACAGGAAGGAGATTCGGTGTTGTTGCACATGCCGCAGCCGAAGAAAGGCTTCACCTCCGAACAACATCGTAACTGGAAAGGTCCGTATAGGGTTGACAAAAGGCTGAAGGACGCAGTGCATCAAATCCAGGCAATGGGGAGACCGAGGACCAAGATGAAAGTGGTCCACTTGGAAATACTTGCAGCGGTTGGAGCGGCAAGTATGTCTGATCGGGACGATCAGACTTAGGTGGAGGGCAGTGTGGCGAATACTGCGGCAACACAAAGCGAACAACGAGAAATAGGCAGAATGTTCGAGGAACGACGTAGAATGTTCCACAAAGAGAAAAGTCAAGTTGGAGGAACACTGCGAACAGCGAGAGAAAGAGAATGAGCGATAAACTTCAGAATGTTCTAGAGTTGCCATAAGTGCCAGCGCAGGTATATAAGGGCGCCGCCACTGCGAGGTGAGTTACAGTTACAAGACAGCAAGCTACAAGTAAAGTGAGCAGAGAAGTGAGTTGCGAATAAGCAAGATATAAGTTTAATTGTGTTACCAAGTTTAGTTAAGCGCTGTTATTGCTTTAACAAGTATTGTAAAGTGTTTTTACTGTATTAGCGAGTATTGTAAATTGTTTGTTGTACAATAAAGTTAATTGTACTACAATTTGGTCATAGATTGCATTTATTTAACAATCCAGCGATACGAACCGAGAGATTTGGGAAATCCGGACGAGGTTTCAAGGATAATCGTAACAATATTAATACACAAATAAAAAAAATTGTTTAACGCTAGTTTTAGGTAACATTTTAATTTAAACTGTATTTCCTTGAAAACGTAAAAGAAAAATTATAAGATATGCATATCGAAAGAAATGTATTTGAATTGCTTTTTCACGTATTGATCAAGATCTTTTTGAGATATTGCAATTTTTAAAAATTTATTCGAACTTTAGTTCTCGATATCATATTTATTTTTCAATTCCGCCAACAATTTTAGCACTTCTTTAATCAGCACAAAAGTTCTTTCCAACTTATTTTTTAGTCTTTTTTATTAGTTTTGATAGCATCGTAGTCAGGGCTGCCAACTATCCTTAGCTATGAGGTGCCATATTGAGGATAAAAAAGTACCACAATGTGCCAAATAGAAAAATAAAAGTGCTAAAAATGGTGCCATCCATTTTAATCCTTCCCATTTAGCAATAAAATAAGAACCAAATTTCTAAAACAAGAGTGCAATGCTAAAATAAGATAAACCGGTTTAATAATCTTTAAAAATTAGAAAATTTTAGTTGACAAAAAGACACGCGAGAAAGTACACGCGAAGGATTTCCAAAAATGTATTGAAATCTTAGTATTTTTGAAAACTGCCATTTGGGCAGTAAGTGCCAAATTGAAAAATTAAGTGCCATTTGAAGTAAAATAGGGCCAAAAATGGCACGGTTTGAGGAAAGTTGGCAGCCCTGATCGTAGTTTTAAAATTAAAAAATAATCGATAACTATGTAATATCTATTCAATGTGGCACCACCGTTCCGCTGGCACTTTGTTTTTACTCTGTCAACGCCATCCGTCTAGTAACAGCTGTTCCAATAAAAATTCATTTTGTTTACAAATCCCGCATTTGTAGAGTCGAAGTAGAAATTGCAAATTATTACAATAAAAAGGGTAAGTAAGTGATTTAATGTGTTTGTGTTTCCTGGTTGAATATTTTCAGTTTCAGACCCGTTACAACAATGAGCGAATCTGTAAAGGATGGCTCATTCGGTTCGGAAACTTCGATTCCCGAAGGCGCCAACAATAATGAATCAAAGCCCAGTGAAGGAATTCCAGTGATTAAAGTTGACCAGGCAACAACGCAGAATGAAAACGAAAAGGAAATATTAATTGAGGAAGTACATGCTGAAAAGGAAAATGACGCTTCACAAAACGAGGAGTCAACATTTAACAAGTCTTTTGACCCGACACAGCAGAGTACTCCAGAGAAGGAAACCTTTGTGATGCTTGATATGGTCGAAGGGAACGAAAATGTTGCGCCAGACGAGCCCGACGTATCAAGCGATCTACCCTTGCGGAGTTCAGATGAGATTCCGGATATAACCGAAGAAACAAAACAAAATACAGAACCAGACGAGGAAGTACCATTTGAGGAACCAACTACAACACATAATATATATGACGTAGCCCAACCTGCTGAATCAGTTAATAAAAAGGCAGAAGTAAAAGCTAGTGTTGAAGTGCCTGATAAGTCAACAATGCATATTGTTGAAGAGATTAAGGAATCTGGAACTGGGAAAACAAATGAAAAGGCTGAGCCTATTAAGGACCCGATTGTTCCTCCAGAAATCAGCGAAAATGTTAGTATAAGTGATATACACACTAAAAATAAAGAATCATCAATTAACAAGCTAAATAAGGAGACTGCATCTGGCACTCCAGCCGTTGATCATGAAATCAGCGATGAAGCACGTAAAGATGAAGAATTAACAACATGTGGGAAAGAGCGCAATGAGCCTACAAAAGATTGTACAGTGGAAGTTAAGGACTCAAATGTAACGAACAAAACTAGCGAAGAAGCTAAAACAAATGAAACACGGGGATCAGGTGAAAAAGTTCTATTGTGCGAGGCCAATGATATGAGGGAATGCGTTCCCGCTGTAGGTGCGAATCTTATAGTTGAAGATGAAGTCACAGAAAGAGAAACAGAACTTTTAAAAATTGTACCGCGGGATACCATGAAACGAAGTCATTTGGTAGTCGAAAATGAGGATAATGATGATGGCACAACGTCTAAGAAACCGCGAAAATTGTATACTGTGCTGAAACCCCCAAAGGACGATGAACCAGATTTGTACACACTTGAAATCACAAAACGTATAAAACAGCAATTACCGCCATCTATTAGTGTAACTCTAAAAAAACCAACTGATTTAGAAAGTAATGGCGATATCCCAAAAGAGAAAGATACAACCAAGTCACATACAACATTTCAAGGGAGTATTTTAGAAAAGAAGTTGCCGCTGCCGAGCAATCACACATATGTTCAGTCAGCTACATCCAAAAGTACAATAACTGATGCGCTTCTACCACCAATAGCCCCAATTTCTATTCCAGTTACACAAATTCCAGGGAGTCCCTATAATAGCTTAATTTGCACGTCTGTTGCTTCTAAATCAAGTTCCATCCTTAACTCGACGGATTCAAATAAAAACTCCATCATTCCCGCCGTAATTACAACAAAACCTAAAATCACAATTTTGAACCCTCATCCAGCAATTCCTTCCACAATCAAATCCGTGAAGGTCATCCCACGAAATTGTACGGTTTTTCCAATGAAGTCGTCAAACTCATCCAATGACAATAAGGCACTTATAACTTCGATAAAAATTCTTCCACCAAATCCAGCACTTCTCAAAGTAGCATCCAACGCGGATCCTAACAAAGAATCAGTAGCAACAACTATGTTAACTACCACCATTGACAACAAAAAGGATGTAGCCACAACGCCTGACAACAATACCTGCGCCTTAGACTATATCCCAACGTTGCGTCGCGAAGAAGAACAAAATCATATCGATTCAGATACAATGCCGACTTTTACGCAAACGTACCTAAAATCTCTTTCAGAATATATACGTGAAGCAAGAGCTTACAATGCAGCCACCGTCGGAAAAAAGAACGAAAACGATAGAAACAACAAGGTGTTGGAAAGTGTCGCAGCAACCTCCGAGGATATTGAATCAGATTTGGTTACATATGAAATCTTCGATAAGGGGTATGATGATACTACTTGTAATGTTAATACCGAACGTCGGCACATGAGCACACAAACAAAAGATAGCATTACTAATATTTTGAGTAAAATTGCGGCATTGAAAGAAAAGACGAATCAACAAGCCGAAGATATCTTGTCGCTCAAGGCAGCTATGAAACTGCTAAATTCAAAAACTGAAGTCAAAAAGACTTGATTCAGCCATTGTGTTTTATATATATAAAGCTATTTTTAATATAGGAAGTAAATAAATATTTAAAAAATATCTACCATGATACAAAAATAGTATCATGATTTCTACTATAAAAATTAAACGTTGATTTCATTTTGAAACTTTTATATTTTTGAATTCGAATAGCTCTCAATCTAAAAATAATTTAATGTAATTTACAAAAGTTAATAAAAGATGAATTCAAGTAATTTGTAATTAAGATGGAATAAATTAAATGAATGTAAGCTATTGAGTGGAGTGTTATGCGCATTTGTATACATATATACATGTATGTGAGAAATGCACCTTTTGATAAGGAAATCAAGTGTAACTACTTAAAAAATAGCCCAACTTCGCTCTGGCTACTGCAGCAGGTAAAACTCATACCTGAACAGACTAAATGCGAATGTGCCGAATGAGTATCCGGCATGCGGAGAGACACCGCATGACTCGAAGCATCTTTTGGTATGCCCGGAAAACCCAACAACCCTAACGCCTTTGTCCCTGTGGACCGAACCCATTGAGGTTGCACGCTTCTTAGGGCTGCCGTTAGTGGAACTTGACGACAACGACTTAGATATCAACCGATCTGGGCGGGGTTGTTGTAGCCGCTACAACAACGACAACAACTTAAAAAATGTTAGCAACAGGTAATTTATTAAGAGGATACCAAGTTTCATTAGTTAATTCCACCTGGTTTTCTTAAAACAAAGAATGCGGCTGCATACTAAATTCCACCCTTTTAAAATTGATTTTTTTTTCATTTCACAACACGCTTTGCATTGAAACATTTAATTTGATTATCAACTGGTTTGAATCTTGATAATGACCCACAAAATTTTACTTGCTCAAATTTCTGTTCATCACATTTTTATACCGACCGGACTTGCTTTTAAATTTTTAACAGTAGTTTCGATAAAAGATAGATTAACTATCGATGTTGGGAAATATTTTTATTATCGATTTGCAATAAATCGAGTTTAAAAGAATCGAGTAGTCGTTTTCAGTGGCAACTTTGTTGACATTTAATGTCAAATGCGGTCTGCTAGGCGTCTGAAGTAATTTGGATTTTGGGCGATTATTACAGATTTTTATTTTGGAATTCCACCATTTATTCAAATTGAATTAAATTCAAAATAAGTTCAACAAGGCAAGTAGAGTAGAAGCCAATATATGGAACATTGGTAATAGGCGTCGCACCTATCCGGATCAGCACGTCGATAGACGCTCGGCGATCGTAGCTGAGAATTGCGTTACATACCTATTTCAGCAGTATTCCACAGCATTCAGTTGATCTACGCTATCGGAATAATTTTTTCTGTGCATGACTAAATACTGAAAAGCTTTAACTATGCCAGTTATGCGCCTTTGTATCGCGGGTTGTCCATCGCTTGGGATACCAATATACGCCTTTCCTCCGGAAAATGAGCCAGACAGGTAGTTATTTAATTTAAGAATGTGCAAAAATCAGTATATAATCTTCCTCTTGCTTTAATTTAGACGCAACAAATGGTTCCGAATGTTCAACTTAAATCCAGCGTTATATGAAAATAAAACTGTTCATATTTGTCGCCGTCATTTCAGTAATAGAATGACACAATCAAAAACACTTCCTAAAAATGCCTATCCCGATATAAATTTATATATGTACAATGAACGTGCCCCGTACGTTGAGAAATACAGTGTCTATTGGAAAAACGGTGACCGACCGCCAGGAGAGGACCAAGTAATGGCTATTGACGTTTCGGAAAGTGGGGAAAATATATCTTATGAAATGCCAGGGACTGAATTATCTGATGTTATCGAAGTTGATGAAGTAGTTGTGCCGCAAGAAGGTGGTATGTCAACATCAGCAGTATCTCTCCAATATTTTCCACCCCTTGTAAAGCATCAAAAACGGCAATGCATACTGAATTGCCCCGACGGCCGTAATTTCCATAATTTCCCATCGCTAGAATTGGAGCCGGAAAGGCGTAAACAATGGCTTTATTTACTTGCCAAGGATCCTGATTTATATCCACATAAGTATCTTTATCTTTGTGATAGACATTTCGACTTGCACATGCGGGGCAGGGCAAAGCTGATGCGGGGAGCTTATCCAAATAAAAATCTACCACCACCATTACAAACGCCGATACCACAAGATTTGGAGGGAAAGACGGAATGTATTCAAAAATGTAGTGAATACCACAGAAAGTACAGGTTTCCATCGTTCGAACAGGAAACCGAAAGGTAAAGTTTACATTTTGTTTCCGAAATAATTTTTCTTCCTAAATAGTTATTTATGTTATACAGATTTAAATTCTTAACAAAAAACTACATACAGTCAGTCAATAAAGTTTAGGGGCAGCGAACTTTTTGCAATACCGGTAAATATTTTTTTAATATTTTATTTTTCGCCAATTTTTTTATAAAAATATGGTTAACTCTACAACAAAAACCCTAATAAATCAGAGTTCCAAACCTTATGCAAAAGTAAAGAAAATTCTGCAAATTTTCATCCAAATATTGCACTTTTTATTCACATTCTTTAGAAAAAAGTTTAGTACGCAGTTTTTAAGCCCATTCTATTTCAGTATAACAAAGTGCAAGCTTGAGGTAGCTAGGACTTGCCGTTGATTTTTAGTATTTTTTATTTTTTTTTGTTGAAGGTGTCGCTCATTTTCTCCGTATAATTTAATAATTTGATAATTGAATGGGTTGAAAAACTGCATACTCAAGTTTTTTCTAGAGAGCGTAAAAAAAAGTGCAATATTTTAATGAAATTTCGCAGAATTTTCTTTAATTTTGCACAAGGTTTGGACTCTGACTTTGTGGTTTTTGTTGTAGAATTAACCATATTTTTATAAGAAATAGCGAAAAATAAAATATTTAAAAAATAGTTGCCCGTATTGTAAATAACTCGCTATACCTAGACTTTATTGATTATTAATTTTAAAATAAAAAACTTTAAAATGTTGATTTAGGCTAAATAAGTGTATATATTATATTTTCAGAAGAATAATGTGGTTTAAAAAATTTGGACGGGATCCAAAAAAATATAACGACGACGTCTACGCTTGCGACAGCCATTTTGGCGACGAAATGCGAATCGGTCCATATCTGCGACGGGAGGCCGTACCAAATAAAAATCTAAGACCCGCTGCTGCATTCGCAAAAGTTAAAAAATGGTCTTTACAAAAATTGGATGCACTATCTAATTTCCCAACAAATACTTCACCCACCCATACACCCGAGCCCCACATCCATCAAATGACCACCACGGCGCTGCCAACGGCTAACGAATCGCAGAACATTGTCAACAATCTTAGTCATATATTGGTAAATACGACTGTACAGTTGCCGGTGGAAAATGACAACGTTCTTAATCAAGTCAATCAGCAAAAGTTGTCTGCTCAACGGTCTAAAAATGATAATATCCTTAATCGTATAAATATGACCATATTGCCGCCTAGCAATCAACCCGAGGACGCACCGTCGCCTGTACAATACGTAAAAATGCATACAGTGGGTGTATTTGTGCCACGGCGTACCGGTTATTTAGTTTCGGTGGATAAAATTTTAAGCGCTGAGGATCCGCTAGATGTCAACAAGCATATGCCGTATGATTATGTGAGGCCATGTGATCCCGAGTTGAACATTAATGTACATACAATATTTAAAGAGGACTATGGAGATTTCAGTAGCGATGAGGAGGAGGCCGATAAGGAAACGCCGGATGATGTAGAAGTAGACAAAAGTGATACTGAAAGTGCAGAAGAAATTGAAGACTGTGCAAGCGACGAATATGAGCAAATACCTACGAAAAGAAGAAGAGATGATGTAAACTATGAAGTGGAAGAAGAATATGAGCTTTGGCAAAGCAATGGAGTAGAAAATGAAGCTGGATTAAGGGATGATTCTGTTTTAGAACAGCTGGCAACAAAATACCCCACTGAAAGTTTTTCCATATTGCTTAGCAAAGATAATAAAGTGGTCGAATATAGAAAAGATGCGGTAGATCATGCAAATAACGAAGAAGATATAATAACACCTGATGAGCCTGTGGTCATATCCGACGAAGAAGAGCCACCTACAGTTGCAAGTAAAAGAGCAGACAATGGAAGTTTTATTTCTACGACTGACGGGTTCAGACTATCCAGCCAAAGGATATCATTTCCGCAGCATTCCAAAACCGATTTTGCTAACACTTTTCTGAAGCAACGACAGCAGCAGAAACCTAACAACAATTTTTTGACAAAGGAAGTAGCGTTAGCTAAAAGTTGGCAGCAAGTGATAGAAACCATAGATAAGGAGCTCATTTCTAGCACTGCAAAGGAGAACGCAACCGAAGCCAGCACAACGGTGCCAAACCAAACGATAGGCAAGGCAAATGTAGAAAAAAATTTCCAGATAGAAAAAGTTAAGTCCACGGTAGCGGCAGGTTCAACAAATATTACAAGAAATATTGTTGGTGGAGGAGTAGCAGCAGCAGCAGCAGTTCAAGGAGCAAAACAAGTGTTAAGACGCGTGAACACCACTGATGCAATTACCAAAACCACGACTATCGATTTGATTGATCTTTTAAAACCTAAAGCTGCTCGCAATAGTTGTATTCTCAAGTGTGAAAGCTTTCGTAAACTTTACGCTTTTCCATCGGCCGCAACAGAGAAATATCGTCGTCACTTTTGGTTTCTTGAGCTCGGCTTAAACATTAAAAGTGATTGGTACAAGTCCTTATACATTTGTGATAAACACTTTGCAGATAATATGCTGATTGAAGATAAGCTACACAAATACGCATACCCCAGGAAATCAACAAAATACCAATTAAATACTATGCGCATGGAAGCAAGCACACAAACCGAAGATGTCGCTGAATGGAAAGGTTACACAGCATTATTGCGAGAATTAACCGAATTGGCGGAGTTGGATAAACAGCAAGACAGGGTGGTAATACGTACTAAATTTTTAATTCGACTCAAGCAGGAAGCGTCACGTTTGGTAGCAGAAATTCAAAATGCCGATGAAGATGAGGATGTTAGTTAAAAAAGAGATTTACACCCAAATGCATGACTTTAAGGGCCAGTTTTTCAGTGCACGGCCGTTGTCAGCCAGCTGTTCAATTTAAACTCGGTTTACTTAATCTAAGTTTAAACTGGAGCTAAAAACTGGCCCTAAGAGGACAACTCCAAAAAAAGCTTTTCGGGCATTCGGAGCTTTTCAGGATTTCAGAAATATCTGAATTGTGTAGCTGAAAGCCTCTGAAAAGCTTGTTGTGGAGTTGTACTCTAAATGCTTTGTAAATCACTTTATAAAGCTTTTTTGAATATGGCCACTAGTAGTCTGGAATTGGGTACAAGGTGTTGCGCACGGTATTGTATAACGTTGGCATCATTAAAATAAGCACTATGCGGTAGTTTAAAGTTTTCTCTAGTGAGAGCAAACAATGAATAAAAAAGTGAAGTATGAAATGCTTTCCGAATTTGTCTATAAAAAAAACTTATAAAACGCGTACCGGTTAAGTTATTACACAATTTTTTTTTTATATGGATATGTTTGCGGGCAACTTAAGGTCTCGTTGAACAATTGCCAACGGTCGTATGTATATTAGGATGGTCCAAAAATGCATGCGAAAAAAGTAAAGTCTGAATTTTAATGCTCTCACCCCCTAGGATACAATTCTGAGGAGTTGCAAAAATATTAATTTTCAAGGTTTCTATACCTTTTCTACGAAAAATTTCGAGCGCTTTGAGCAACCTCTTAATTTTTCTTTTTGATGGTATAGTTTATAAATATAGTGTAGAACAATCAAAGGGGTGAGAGCATAAAAATTCAGACTTTACTTCATTGTACCACCCTAATTTATATACAGAAATGCATAAAGTATATGGAGAGGTTTACGTAGATGAAAACTTAAATAGGGACGTGACATTTTACCAAATTCTGGCTATTTTTCTTTTGTTTATTTTATATTTATAATTTTTTATGAAAGTATAGCTCTTTCTTTGTCTAACAAATATCCATGTAAATCCGAAATTCAAACTTTGTAGAAAAAAGTTTGGTAAGTATTTTTATAGCCTGTTAAATTTTAGTACAATATAATAAAGTGCAAATTTAAAGTAGCTAGGCGTACCGTTAATTTTGACTGTGTTACGCATTTTTTCCATATAAAGTATGTTGGACAATTTTTTATATACATATCGAGAAAATTAGCAACAACTTCAACAAAAAAAAGCCAAAATTCAACGGTAAGCCTTACTTCAAATTTTGCAGTTTTTGTACTCAACATTTTTCTAATGTCATCTAATTAAAAAGTTCGAAGAAATTTTAATGAACCTTTTTCGAATTTTGCTAATTTTTGTACAAAGTTTGAAATTCGGGTGTACATGGTTTTTGTTAGATAACGAGTAATACTTTCATCAAATAAACAAAATGAAAGTCGCCAAAACTTGTTAAAATGTTGTGACTTTATTTATGTTTTCCCCACTGTATGTTCAACGTTTCGGTTTTTAGTAATGTTGTCGACGATCTGTAGCTATGTCTCTTGCAATGTACTTTAAGCTTTCTTGAAACGCACATTCATAGACATTTAATCTATATCTACTTTGCGAAAATACTTAGTTCAGTTTGATTTCAAAGTCATTTTTGATTTTTATATAGTAATGAACTAATCAGTTTCAATTAAGTTAAAATAAGGATACAAATTTTATAATAAACGGAACTGATAAAACTTGTTAGTATTCTTTTATCTAGGTCATAAGACAGTTGATATGTGGGTTAAAATGTTTCGCTTAACAATGCCAGTGGAAAGTTTGCGAGCACTCTCTGTGACATACTTAGTTCAAAGGGGTTTACGACTAACGAAAGGAAGCTGTGCCTGGCTTTTTTCACTAGGAAAGAAGCCCTGCCGGGCATGAGGAACATAGGTCGAGATGGCATCGTGATCACTGTCAGCAAAGTAAAGTTTCTGAGAATAAGCGTGGACACCAATCTTTTATGGAAGAAACATGTGTGGCAGCAAAGTCCTAGGCATGCGGCCCCAAATTCTGAGATGGCTGTACACCATGATAGTATATTCACCTAGGAGCTAGTAGTTTTGGTCTCAAGAACGACTCTGCGCGCGGTGAGGCAATCACTCGCAATGCTACAAACGCAGCCCGCAACACGATCTTCTTTGAGAGATTGCTTGGAACTGGCGCCCACCATTGGTATACAGGTAACTCGAAATCTCAGAAGTTCCTATGACGAAAATAGTCGAGCACATTTCAGGCTCATTACGCTATTGGGCAGTCTAACATGAAGGGGTTTTCAACACCTAATCAGCTTCCCTCATAAGAATATTTAGAGGTACAAGGTATTTAGAGGTAAACAAGGACACCGCAGATTGAGAGTATTTGCCTAAACTTGCGATATGGTCGAATGATCATGAACATTAGGAAGAAAACTCGATTTTGGCTGTTAATGACTTGGCACTTAAAAGTTTTAAGACGTCAAAATCGCCTTTGGCTCTACAACCGTTCGTCGTCGTTGGGCCAAGACCCAAAATCTTCGCCAATTGCCTCTCTCCTTTGTGAGGTTGCGACAATTGTTATAAGAAAAATGGGCAGGGTGGGGTTAACGTTCAGAAAGAATGCCCAATATCTATATTTTTTTAATTATGCACTCATTTGTTTAATGAAAATGTTACATATACATATACCAAGCGAAAGCATAAAGTCTATAGCTTCATTATTCATATGGTCCCAGATTTATATTTGGACAAGGACTGTCACTCCAGCAACACTCCCCAAAAACTCTTTGGAGAACTTGTATGCTGCTACAACAACAACATAAAGTCTATAGAATGTGTTAAACAGATGAGTGAAAACTACCAGTATTATCACCTGCCAACCCGATAAGTAAGCCACGAAAAAAATTTATAACCCTACGTTTTCACATTCTTTAGGCTACTTTCGATTGGTATAAAACGTGTGCACTTAACCGGAAAAAAGCACTTAAGCGAATTTTCTTTACTAATTCAATGAGGAAGGTATCCGAATCCCTATGAAACCAAATACCGAATGATATCTAATAATCTATATAACTACATAAAATGATAGCCGTTTTCGTTGTTCTGCAAGATGACCAAAATAAATAAAAGCGTGTAAAATTAGGTAATTGTAGGGCCAGTGCAGGTAAACGTAATACTTTCTTTGATAATTAATAATAGTTGCAAATTTTTAAGGCAGGTATCGTTAATATGCAAGTCTTGAATGCATCTATCGGAGCAGTTTCCTTATAAATGTTAAAAATAATGCCGCTTATGCGCATTTTGGGGTAGGTATCTTAAATGTGCACTTAAACACAAAGGCAGCAAAGCAAAATATACTGCATTCAATTTAAAATATCCTGGCAAGGATTTGTTCAGCAAATTCACTAGCGAAATATTTATATTCATCTATTAAACAGATGGTTGAAGGTAGTGCAATATTGGGATCTTAGACTAACTGTGATTTAATTATTCCTAAACCTTCTAATGATTTAATTGAACAAAACAAGTAGTTTAATTTTTTATTTTTATCTGAAATTATCTATGCATTATATAAGTATTTTTTCTCATTAACCATTCATATGCTCTCACCCCCTAGGATTGTCCTATACAAAAAAAAAATTGAATTTATGCACCTGTTGTTTTTTTTTTTTTACTTTGAAATCAAAAAATATTAAGAGGTCGCTCACAGTTTACCATGTATTCTATATGTGGGAAAAAACAGTTTTCGTGGAAATTGTATAGAATTCCCGAAAATCTATATTTTTCGATCGGAAAGCTCTGTTTCTCTTCAGGAGACTTCTAATATTAATACTCTATTGATTATTTAACCATTTTTTAATATTAGCTACTTTTTATAGGTCCCCTAAAATCCCAAAAATGCAGTGTGTGAACCATAAAAAATCACTTTTCCACAGGGCAACGTAAGAGAATGGGTATTATATAAAAGAGACAATTCTGTATAATTAAAGGAGTTTAAATTTTTTGGTGCATATGGACGAATAAGTACTAAAAAAGTCCTTTTAAAATTGTATTCCTAAATATCGCTGAAAATTTGCATGATGTATTTTTGAAAAAAAAAAATATGTTAAGGACTAATATGCCCACCATGACCAACAGTCGTTCGGCGAAATTTGAGAATTTCGTTGGCATTATCAATGACATAATGTACTACAAATTCTTATTCCTATTATCCTTTCGAAATGAAGAAGTATTGAAAAAGTGTAAAAATCTGTCGTTAATGTTTTTATTTACGACATAATTCGATGCGAACGACATACGACAACCAGAATAGGGCAGAATATGTAATTAGCTATTTTGTTTGTTTGTTTTATATCTCATAGCTCCATAAAGCCACACGCTAAAACAAAACAATCAATATAATCAAGTTTATAGAGCTTGTTTTTAACTTCTTGGTTGTTACATCATGTCGTGGGAAAAGGGCTGCAAATTTACAGCGCTAAAATATAAGTATGCATGCTTTTAGGCGCTCAACAAATTTTTTTGGTGGCATATTTTTACCGACGTTAGATTCTCGATAATTAGTAGAATTGCGTCAAAAATCCAAATCGCAACTTTATAAACTTACCTCTAATAACGTTTTGAACATTCCAAAGGCCATGAATAGAAAATAAACGATGGGTAATAACTGTTATCAAGTAACGCAAAAAATTAACGCTGGGAAATAACTGTTGTTGGCGACGGAAAGTATATTTCTCCTGCATAACAGTTAACAGGCAACGTAAAAAATAAGCGTTGGGTTATAACTCTTATCGGAGAAATAAAAAATATTTTTCATCTAATAACTGTTATAGAACATTTTTCCGATAGAACTTATAACTGTTATATCCCTGGAATAAACTATTTCACAAATACTAATCCTAGAAATTCAGAAGTGAGCCACCAAACGTGTGAGGAGTTTATAGGGAAGAGAATGTAAGTAACGTCAGCACCGAGTTTTTGAAATTTCAGTGCTCTAAAAAAATATAACTCCTCAAAACGATTTTTTGATGGCTGTACGAACTCTGTTTTATGAAAAAGTTCGGAAACCTCTGATCTAGCCTCATTTAACCTAAGATTGCCAAAAGCGATAATTTTTTTTTGGTACGGACCGTGAAGCAGTCAATGAAAAAATTTTATATTTTGTCGAAGCCGAAAAAGTGTTAAATGCTTTGATTTCTGTTCCAAAGATGCCAATAAATCTAGTACTTTTTTTTAGAGATGGTTTTGAACTTTGATAAAGGTAAAACGCAATCCAAAATATTGCCACTTATTACCCTTTTTAGACTTTTTTCTTTTGCAACACAGATTTTTAATTTACTCTCTTTAAATAAAAAATTGTAAGATGTAATATATTACTATGTATGTTTTAGGTTTTGAAATATGTTTTTCAATTTATTTAGTACTATTTTTACATGTTTTTTCTTGCCTCCACAAACGTTTACATACATAAA